AGATAGATAGATAGATAGATAGATAGATAGATAGATAGATAGATAGATAGATAGATAGATAGATAGAGATAGATAGATAGCTCTAAGATAGATAGATAGATAAGAGAGGGGGAGGATGAGAAAGAAAGAAAGAATGAGAACGAGTTACAAACATTACATAATGCATCTGTAAAACAAGCTTAGAGTGTCCTCATTTCTTGTTCATATTGAAGCAAATAGTACTAAAAATTAAAATAGAAAATAAAAAGGAAATTAATCAATTAATCTAATTCAATTTAAAGATAGTGAATAAATCAAAATAGAATTGCCCTCTTGACAGTACCGAATGTGGAGAAAGAACAGGCGCTACATCAGACCAACTTGCACCGGGGTTGACCTCAACAGGAACTTTGACTCCAGATTTGGAAGTAAGTTAAATCACATGGAATCTGTTGTTAGAGCTACACACGGGTTTGGGGGGAGGGAAGGGGGGGGGGTGCAGCTTAGGTCCAAACAAAATATTTGAAGTTTTAAAAAAACTTCCTTAGAAGAATATATTGTGCTAAACCGAATGGAAGTAGGCCTACTCCCAAAGCTCTATTTCAAAGAGATAGCTTCATGAAGTGTGCACCATTGTGGAGCTAATGCAATGCTTTAATTCTAATGCAATGCTTTAATTCTAATGCAATGCTTTAATTCTAATGCAATGCTTTAATTCTAAATGCAATTTTAAGATGTTTTTGCTCTTTTCCTCAAAATGTTCATTTCTTGTCTTTAAAAGCTAAAAACTATTTTTAAAAAAAAAACTATTCAAGATAAAGACATTAAATTTGGAGGGTAAGTCCACTAGACAATTCCTAATAAAAAGATGCAAGCTTTTCGTAATTTTAGAGGGAAAAAAATGTGTTTTTAATTATAATTTTTTTTTTTTACTTTGCTGTGTCATTCGCTAATATGCTAGTTTTCTCAAAGTAATAAAAATTTTAAGGTAAATATTTACAATTTCAAGAAACGATAGCGTCATTTTCCTAAGATTTGTGTTCAGGTTACAAATTATGTAATTAATTCATAGATGGAAGGTTTTTGAGTTTTTAGCTTTTGAAAATGGTCCTTCGGATAGCCCGCTTTCATTCTATCTAATTTGCCATTTCTGTAATTGTGTAACTGATAATGACTCGCAAAACTGGATATTTTTAATCCATGAATGGAATACTTTGAGAAAATAATAAGAAAAAACAACAACAGTAACAATAACTCTATTATAGATTTTGGTACAAAGAAGTAGAGCGTGGCCAACACAATCTATGCTGGTCACTGTCGGCACAGATTTCTCACATGTATCTAGTTTTGTACCTTGTGCTTATTCCGTGTAATTATGTCATCTAAGCTTTACATAGCACTACCCTGGAAGTACAAAATTATATCTGTTCTGTAGCTAGTTTAGAGATATGTGAGTTAAAATTTCTGAGTTTCACAAATTGTCAAAATATGTCTCTCACTCTCCTCCGCCCCCTTTCCAGCGGTGGGCGTGTCCTCCAACTGTGGCAGCGACATCTACCCAGGAGAGCGCGCCTTCACAGAGCCCGAGACGGCCAACATGAGAGAGCTGGTCTACAGCCTGCAGGGGGAGCTGGTGTCTTACCTCTCCGTGCACTCTTACTCACAGGTATGCATGTGTGCACGCTCACACACACACACACACACACACACACACACACACACATATATATACACACACACACATATACACACACACACACATACACACACACACACACACACATACACACACACACACACACACACAAATATATACAGTAACACGAACACATACCCGCACACACACAGTCACACACACACATACACACAC